AGTGTGTGTAGTGTGTGTAGTGTGTGTAGTGTGTGTGTAGTGTGTGTAGTGTGTGTGTAGTGTGTGTGTGTGTGTAGTGTGTGTGTGTGTGTAGTGTGTGTAGTGTGTGTAGTGTGTGTGTAGTGTGTGTGTGTGTGTGTGTAGTGTGTGTAGTGTGTGTGTAGTGTGTGTGTGTGTGTGTAGTGTGTGTGTGTGTGTGTGTGTAGTGTGTGTGTATAGTGTGTGTAGTGTGTGTAGTGTGTGTAGTGTGTGTAGTGTGTGTGTGTGTGTGTGTGTAGTGTGTGTGTGTATGTGTGTGTGTGTGTAGTGTGTGTAGTGTGTGTAGTGTGTGTAGTGTGTGTAGTGTGTGTGTGTGTGTAGTGTGTGTAGTGTGTGTAGTGTGTGTAGTGTGTGTGTGTGTAGTGTGTGTGTAGTGTGTGTGTAGTGTGTGTGTGTAGTGTGTGTAGTGTGTGTGTAGTGTGTGTAGTGTGTGTGTAGTGTGTGTGTAGTGTGTGTGTTTGTAATGCGTTCAGTGTGGCGTCTGTAAACTCGGGGATCGTGTTGCTCGTCATTTTAAAGACTTTACCAGATGCACTTGAAGCTGCTTCATATTTTATGATTGAGATGAATGGTTTGAACCCTGCCATGGGCCTCCACAAAAGGCAGCGCTTCCTGTGGATCAGCCAATCAGACGGCAGCGTTCAGACACAGAGGGGCCCACACCAGGGACATTCACACATGGATTTGGTTTGATGAGTGAACGAAGAGAAGATGGAGAAGAATGGATTTAAGACGGTGTGGAGATGACATTATAGACGCATTTGAAGTAGTTAAGTCATGTTATTTTAGGAAACACATTTGCAAAGCTTTCACATTTAAAACACAAAGCTAAAAAAGTAAGAGAGAAAAGTAAAAGCAGGATTACAAGAGTCCAGGACTGAAGGCAATTTTATCACTGCAATATTAGAATGAGTTTGGTGAAGGTAAGTGGGCTTTAAAAACATGGAGGAACACTTGAACTGAAACCAGATAAAAAATGACATCTTCAGATCTGAAATTTGGGATCCTGGTTGTGGCATCATTTCCTGGCAGTTTTAGCACAATTTTATTTTATTCATGAGTTTCAGCTTCCTTGTTTTATGCAATATTTTAAAAATGTTTTTTCCACATTGAAAAATATCTAATATTTAGATTGGTTGAAGGACACATTGCACTTCAAACCCAAAACTTGTCAACAATTTAATTTCCTGTGTTTTGCTAGCCTGATTCATCAGCCAGTTTCACTTATTAGAAACCGTCTGACCTCGCAGTGTTAGAATTCATTCACTCGACAGTAGGCGAGTACTTTTTATCATTTAACCAATTGCTGTTATTTGGTCGTCACTTATGTATTGCACCACTAACGGGACTAACTGGTATATTAAACTTTTCCTAAATCCTGTAGGAAGAAGGACAATAACGTCTTTCCTCTTGATAAAATTCACCAAACATTCTCTTTATTCCGGCTTTAAATCCTCAATCTCAGAAATCATTGCTGACACTTCCAGGGTTTTCGCAAACCGTCTAGTGGATTCTGATTTCTGATCTAGTTGCTGGAGAGAAATGAAACTGAGCAGAGGCACTAGGTGGCGCCAGTCTGGCTACAAGACCTGCACGATACCACGGAAACAGAAAGTTGAACCATACTTTGGAACTTTTTCATTGGAGATAGATAAGTTTATGCCATGCTGGAATATCAGAGCCAAAGAAACAACATTACCATGGAGACAAGCAGGAGCAAGTCAGGTTTGTGGAGGTGCAAGCCCAATCCCAGTAAGGAAGCAGTTTTTCAGAATGAAAATAATAACTGACGGCCTAAATAGAAACTGATAAAATTAACCATTCAAAATTCAACATTTTCTTAGTTCCGGCTTTAAATCCTCGATCTTGGGAATTGTTGACAACACTGAATATGTGGCTCTTCGCTGATTGGCTGGTGCCTGGACTTGCACTTCTGGGGTTTTTGTCTAGTGTATTTTGATTCCTGACCTAGTCGCTGGAGAGAAATGAAATGAAGCAGAGGCACTAGGTGGTGCCAGTCTGGCTAGTGTTTTGCCTGTTTTCAAAAGGAATCAAAAGGACGTCCGTCCAGCCTCTGAACAATGATATTAACATTAACGTTATCAATAATACAATAGATCATGTTGAGTGCTACATTTAAGTGCACATTTTATAGTAACACAAAACAAAACAAGAATAAATTATTAACACTGAAACATTAAAAATAATTTGTACTTGTGCTGGTATCAGTTCAGCTTTAAAACCAAACTATAGCCTGTACTCTTCCCTTTCTTCAGAACAGCTTCTACAATCACAAGTTCACAAAAAATGAACCAAACCTGTGTGACCAGAGACTTCACCTGCAGACAGAGACACATCCACGTGTCTCACAGTCAGTGTATGGACAGACCATGCCTCATGTGAAAGCTCACAACCTCCAGAACAGAGGTGTGCAGAAATATCAAAATACTGACATATCGCTAAGAGTGTTTTTTTGTATATTTTACTCAATTATTTTGTTACAGCTATAGTTTTGTTGCTTAGTCAAAGGAAGAAAACTCGTTTATGCAACACATTTGACATTTTTGATGAGTAAAATGGGTGTGTTTCTTATTCACTTTGCACAAGAAGTGGTTTAACAACGACTTTTACTATCACAGCCATGATTTAATCTTTATTTTTTACCGAACTGTATCGAATCGATTTGAAATATATTGTATCAAATCGAAAGTGCACTGTATCGAGATAAGTATCGTATCGTGGCCTATGTAGTGAGGTATGTATCGTATCAGCAGCTTCTTAATGATACCCAGTGCTAGTACAAATGCATTATTTTCTTGTCTAGTGCATGGGTGCCCAAAGTGACAAATTCAGTGTAATAAGACATAATTTAACAATAACAATCATTCATGGAGACAGTGATTTTAGGTTTAAACACTGAAAATGGCAACCCACATTGCAAAAAACTAAATCTAATCAAGTTAAGATGACTTGAATTAAGAAAGTTTCATCATGACTTCAGTAAATTTCACTTGACAAGTAAAATAATAATGCCAGTGGAATAAGACTTTTTGTACTTAAAATACGAAAATTCATGTTGCTACACTTAAAATAAGAAAAACAACAACTTTTTGCACTTAGAATAAGAAACAAAATCGAATGTTGCTTGAATTAAGAAAAACACACTCCATCGGCAGATCATTTGTCAAGTTGAATCAAATAAAGTCAAATGTTCTTAATTTAAGTCATTTTAATTTACCGAGATATTGTTTTTTGATATTGATCAGCAAATCACCAAATTATAACAGAAATAAACAGAACATCAGGCCCAGTGTGTATAATTAAGAATAAATCAGCAATAACTGTTCTCTGTAAAAGCTAGATTTCATTTGAACACATTTGACTCATATCTAGGGGCACAGAGCGGCCAAGTTTATGACATTTCAAATATATTGCCAAAATAACTGGAGTCTTTTGAAATTACAATTTTCCATTGCGTTCATCTGCATAAATGAACCATCAGTCAAACACCTACACTCACATATTAAATGTCTAAAGTTTAATGCTTATAGAAAATGGAGTTATTACACAGTTTGGTTATAATTCGATCAGAAGAGCATCATAAACGTGCCAGTCCACACTCATCAGTCATATAACCAGTGTTGGGGAGTAACAGATTACATGTACTGGAGTTACGTAATCAGAGTACAAATTATGAGTAACTGTATTCAGTTACAGTTACTGTTTCAATGAGTGGTAATTGGATTACAGTTACTTTGTTGAAATAAATGGATTACAGGGCGGTATGTTCCTGTTTTCACATTTCGGGCTATATCCCCAGGTCTAAACTAGATCTAAACTAGATTTAAACCAGGACTAAACCAGGTCTAAACCAGATCTAAACCAGGACTAAAACCAGCTCTAAACCAGGTCTAAACCAGGTCTAAACCAGGACTAAACTAGATCTAAACCAGGACTAAAACCAGCTCTAAACCAGATCTAAACCAGGTCTAAACCAGATCTAAACCAGGACTAAAACCAGATCTAAACCAGGACTAAACCAGGACTAAACCAGGTCTAAACCAGGACTAAACCAGGACTAAACCAGGATTTGCTGCGTGGACGTGTCTCCTCGTCTTCTATCAATAATGTTTTTAATACGGTTAAGTCTGGGCTTTTTATTTTCTTTTAGAAGACAAAACATCTTATATTGCAATATCCTTGTCTTTGCTTCTCTACAGCAAACCAAGTAATCCAAAGTATTCAGATTACATTACTCACTTTAAGTAACTGAATGGATTCTGTTACAAACTACATTTTGGTGTATGTAATCTGTAATCTGTAGGAGATTACATTTTAAAAGTCACCTTCCCAACACTGCATATATAATACATAAAACCAGAACCGACCACCTTATCTCTCGATAAAGACAATGTGCAAGATCAACAGAACCTTATCTTGTTCCCCAATGTGAATTATTAATTAATTATATCTATTAAACTGGACCTGTTTGACTTTTGACCAGTGCACTCTCATTTTCCTTCATTCCACTGACAACTTTTACATTTTTCTCCAAACAAACCTCTGAAAATCTAAGTGCAAATGTGAGTTGAGAGGAGCCGGGAGACTAAACGGGTCTGTGGTACTGGGGACAGATGGCCTGGGTGAGCCGCGGCCTTTAGGGGGTTAACCCAGCCACTGCAAGCCGAAGATGGGGCTCCTCTAGCGGGCACTGATTGAGAAGGGCCTCGGTGATGTCTGGATCGCGGCAACGTCCAGACAAAACAACATATGCAAAGAAAGAAACGTGCAAAACATTGGGGGAAAGCTTTAAAGAGCGAGGTAGAGCGCAAAAACGTGACGGGAAACAGTACTTTTTCCGTCGAGGTGTTTACAGAGCGAGCACAGAAACATACGCTTATTGTCAGATGTCGGAGTAAAACAAACGCCTTTAAGTGATGTTTTTGGTAGATTTTACTCACGAAAAGAGAGGGAAAAGGTCCGATGAAGCGGGTCAAGTGCACAGATCGTTGCAGAGACGGGAGAAGGCAGCGGGACAGGGGGCAGATCGGATCATAACGGGAGCCAGAGGAGCAGCGTCCGGGGAGAGAGCGCACAGCAGCGGCCATGGAGCAGCGGAAGTGACGCAGACCAGCGAGCCCTTCACAATAACACACACTCACAGGTACAAAATATAAATATATATATATATATATATATATATATATATATATATATATATATATATATATATATATATATATATATATATATATGTATGTATTTTAAATTACATAATAATAATAATAATGATGATAATAATAATACATCTTTATTTATAAAGCACTTTTAAAAACAAGGTTTACAAAGTGCTGTACAAGCAGCAATGAACAATACAACACCAGCAAACAGAAACAAAAACAGACAGTGATGTAAACAATCCAATTAATTATCCATCCATTTTCTTCTTCTTATCTGGGGCTGGGTTGCGGGGGCAGCAGTCTACGCAGGGACTCCTAGACTTCCTTCACCCCCGACACTTTCTCCAGCTCTTCTGGGGGGTCCCCAAGGTGTTCCCAGGCCAGGGTCTCCCTCAGGTCTCCTTCCGGTGGGACATGACTGGAACACCTCCCCAGGGAGGCATCCAGGAGGCATCAGAACAGATGCTCGAGCCTCAGCTGCTCCTCTTGACGTGGAGGAGCAGCGGCTCCATTCTCTCATCCCATGTGACTGAGTTCATCACCCTTTCTCTAAGGGAGCGCCCAGACACCCTGAGGAGGAAATTCATTTTGAGTGCTTGTATCCACGATCTTGTCCTTTTGGTCATTACCCAGAGCTCATGACCGCAGGCCAAGAAATAAAATCAAGCTAAAACCAGTTAAAACAAGGCCAACTGATAAAAATGGGTTTTAAAAAGTGATTTCAAAGATGATAGTGATGGTGTGAGTCTTATCTCCTCAGGCAGGTCGTTCCAAATTCGAGGCATCTGAACTGAAAAGGCTCCATCAGCTTCATTCGGAGTCTGGATTTTGGAACAGCCACAGTGACCTGCCTGAGGATCTGCGGCTGTGGGAGGCTCAACCGGGGTTAAAAGTTCTAAAATGTAACTTGGTGTAAGACCTACACGAGCTTTAAAAGTGATCATTCAAATCTTCAAATCGATTCTAAAACACACAGGAGCCAGTGAAAGGAAGAAAAACAGGGTCATGTGTTGATGTTTGTTAAACCAGTGAGGAGCCGAGCTGCTGTCAGACAGTTTATGACAAATATAGACTCCTTCAAAATGTGTAAACAAAAACATTCAAAGTTCTGGAATGGAGTAGAGTGATCAAAATTTCAACATCAAAAACTGAGACACTCCCGGTTTGTGGTGGTTGGTAATAATAAAATTGTGAAATGAGATTGTAATTAAAGAAAAATGTTTTGCACTCACAATTCATGACAAACATGTGAGTCAGTAAAGTCACATCTTCTTTGTGTTTTGGTCGTTTTTAAGCAGCTTTTATGTATTTTACTGAAACAAATGACAGTTTATATTTCTCTTTACTGTTGTCAGGGATCAGATTGGGCCAAAATAGAGACACGTGGGACATTTCCTGTATAAACTGGGACAAATCAGTGGTTTTGTATAAATCTGCTGGGACAGGGGACACTGGCTCAAAACTGGGAGTGTCCCGGGGAAACAGGGCGTTTGGTCAAACTAGAATGGAGGCAACTGGAAGCAAAAGTGAAATGGAATAATGTGATTTTAATGAGGAAACTGGGATGAACTTCAGAATATCTCAAGATATTTAAAAAATCACGCGAAATGTGGCGAATGAAAAACACTCATGAAAAAGACACATGTGAGTGATATCAGAGCCCAGATTAAAAACATTTACAACTGTCTTTTATGTTAATTATTAATTTAAGAAGACATTATGAGAGACACTAAGTATTTTTGACAATTAAAAGTCCAGATTTTGAGACAAATTCTACACTACTTTTTCCTTTTTAAAAGCCTTGACAATCCTTTGGTCCTGTTATAATATGAAGAATCAAGTTTAAAAAGTGTTTAATAACAGTTATTTCTTCATGTCGTCTGCACTGACAACACCAAAGGATCATGGTCTATGTAGTTCTCTAGAACAGTTCCTTTCTCTTTCAGTGTAGCCGTTAAAATTCTAATTGGAACAAAAATAATTTTCATTTCTTGTTTTTCTGGTGATAAACAACACACTGATACAGTCCCACAACTAACACACACACAACTCATGAACAATGACATTTTGGTTCCACACTAGTAAACACAGACATTGTCATGTGTGACCAACATCACACACATGTTCATGGGTCTGTACACATACACACATTACATTGTGGATATAATGATGATGTGATATGGGCTGGACTCCTCATAAACTGTTTCTGTGCTGATGAACTGACCCATCGACGCCTCATGGGACCAGGTTGACGTCTCTGACTGTGTTTGTTTAGGTTTCAGTTCAGGAAGTTTGCGCTCAGGGAAATCTGTGTGTCCCTGAGACAGAAGTGCAGAGCTTTGATTGTGCTCTAATCGTCATCTGCAAAACAGTGAAACGTGACATTGTGTTTTCTAAAAACATCTTCTAAAAATGACTTAGTTTTTCCAGGGTTTGTGTATGTTTCGTTTTGTAATTCTACTGTCAGTGTTGGGAAGGTTACTTTGAAAATGTAATCCTCTACAGATTACAGATTACTTATCCCAAAATGTAGTTTGTAACAGAATCCATTAAATTACTTAAGGTGAGTAATGTAATCTGAATACTTTGGATTACTTGATTTGTTGTAGAGAAACAAAGACGAGGAAATCTTCACATAAGAAGTTTTGTCTGTTAAAAGAAAATAAAAAGCCCAGACTTTATTTAACCAAATTAAAAATATTATTGATAGAAGAAGAGACACGGTCCACACAGCAGGATTTAGTCCTGTTCAATCCTGTTTTAATCCTGGTTTAGTCCTGGTTTAGTCCTGGTTTAGACCTAGTTTAGTCCTGGTTTAGACCTGGTTTAGTCCTGGTTTAGACCTGGTTTAGACCTGGTTTAGACCTAGTTTAGTCCTGGTTTTAGTCCTGCTGTAGTCCTGCTTTAGATCTGTTAAATCCTGGTTTAGACCTGGTTTAGTCCTGGTTTAGTCCTGTTAAACCCCGTTATAGACCTGGTTTAGTCCTGGTTTAGTCCTGGTTTAGACCTGGTTTAGTCCTGTTAAACCCTGTTTTAGACCTGGTTTAGTCCTGGTTTAGACCTGATTTAGACTTGGTTTAGACCTAATTTAGACCTGGTTTAGTCCTGTTAAACCCTGTTTTAGACCTAGTTTTAGACCTGGTTTTAGTCCTGGTTTAGACCTGGTTTTAGTCCTGGTTTAGATCTGGTTTAGTGTCCGGCAATGAGTGGAATTACCGAGAGAAAAAAAAAAAAAAGGGATATAGCCCAAAATGTGAAAACAGGAAAATACCATCGTATAATCCATTTATTTCAACAAAGTAACAGTAATCCAATTACCACTCATTGAAACAGTAACTAACTGAGTATAGTTACTTATAATTTGTAATCTGTTACTCCCCAACACTGTCTACTGTTGACCGTTTGTGGCGTAAGTTTCAGTTTTAGTTTTATTCATATTCCTAATTAAGACACCAAAAAAGTCTGAATTTATTGACATTCCTTCGATTTCGTGACCAAAATGAAAACATCTTCTCCGCCGGTGAGATCACCTGACCCCACGCTGCATCTGCTCAGGTATAAACGGTGTTCAGTAGTGAGGAGCAAAGTGGAAATCCCCTTTAGTGCGGGACAATAGCGGCAGAGCATGTCACAGCAGCAGCTTACTGGACAAAGGAGAGCGTGACCTACATACACACAAACAAAGGAGACGCTCTTCAATCAGCACAAACTCCAGCGTGTTCAGGGGGTTTTATTTCGAAGACGTCTTGCTCTCGCTTCCTGTCGGGCTTTGTGCAGCTTTTTAACCCAGATTGGATCACTTCAGACGGATTGCTCCATGAATGAAAAGCAGTGACATCATTTAAAGAGAGAAAATACTAGAGGTTTAATGCTGGAAAACACATTTACGACATTTGTGAGGAGTGAGAGTGAAAGTGTCAACATTGAAATGAAATGTACAGGTCTATTTAAGTGACATTTGTGGTTTAAAAATAAAAAAATAAAAATCAAATCAGTTTCTTCTTCATTTAGGTGAGCAGACGTCCCTGTTTCCCCGGGACAGTCCCAGTGTTGAGCTTGTGTCCTCTGTCCCAGCACATTTATACAAAACCACTGATTTGTCCCAATTTTATACAAGAAATGTCCCACGTGTCTCTATTTGTTGACAAATTTAATCTAAACCAGGACTAAACTAAGACTAAATCAGAACTAAACTAGGACTAAACCAGGACTAAACTAAGACTAAATCAGAACTAAACCAGGACTAAACTAAGTCTAAATCAGGACTATATCAGGTCTAAACCAGGACTACACCAGGTCTAAACCAGGACTAAACTAAGACTAAACTAAGACTAAACTAAACCAGGACTAAACCAGGTCTAAACCAGGACTAAACTAAGACTAAACTAAGACTACACCAGGTCTAAACCAGGACTAAGTCTAAACCAGAACTAAACCAGGACTACACCAGGTCTAAACCAGGACTAAACCAGGACTACACCAGGTCTAAACCAGGACTAAACTAAGTCTAAACCAGGACTACACCAGGTCTAAACCAGGACTAAACTAAGTCTAAACCAGGACTACACCAGGTCTAAACCAGGACTAAACCAAGACTAAACTATGATTTCTTAGACAGTCAAATGTTTCCTTTTTGGTTCTTCCTGTGGATCAATCTTGTCCATCACCTTCACCTTTCACTATTTTTCCAATTCTGTTGGGAAGAGAAACAGTTTGAACGGACGTTTCACATAGATTCACACACATCTGATTCACTTTGGCACTTATGGAGTTCGCAAACTTCCGAAGCTCGTTTCTCGAGCCGTTTTCCACTGTTAGGATCCAACAACCACACAATTACAATGTCTGAATCCCAAAACTAAAATATGACAATATCAGAACCAGAAACAAAAGTGATATGGTTCAAAAGACTAGAAAAGAACAGCTCACCTT